GGGGGCGGGGCGCGGGGCGGGGGGCGCGGGCGAGTGGGGGATGGGGTCGGGGGGTGCTTAGCTCAGAGGGGCTGGGCTCGGAGCTGGGAGTCAGGGCTGCTGGGGGATGGGGTCGGGGGGGTGTCTGGCTCAGAGGGGCTGTGCTCGGAGCTGGGGGTCAGGGCTGCTGGGGGATGGGGTCGAGGGGTGCTTAGCTCAGAGGGGCTGGGCTCGGAGCTAGGGGTCAGGGCTGCGGGGGACAGGGTTCGGCGGGGCTGGGTGGTGCTGGGGGGAGGAGGGGGGCCTGTTTCAGCACAGCCAGGGGGTTTCAGCCCTCAGCTATTTTCTTTGGAGTAATATGGCCCTCGCCGCTTTACGAGTTGTGCAGGCCTGGACTAGATGATCTCCTGAGGTCCCTTTCAACCCTGATAGTCTAGGATACATTTTTAGGTAGGATTTAAACTATTGTTTGAATTTTTCTGGATATGTGCCCTCCTGTAATTTCTATAGCACAGATTTTTCTCACTTTAACTTGAATCCGGTAGCCTCAATTGTCTTCAGAATTTGTTTTAACCTTATGTTCTTCTCAGAGTGCTTGCTCATGTCCATTCCAATGTATGTGTGTGCTCGCCCCGAGCACCACCACTGGAAAGTATTTCCCTCAGTGGTATCCGTTGGGTGGGCTCTGGTGCCCCTGGAGTTGCACACATATAGTGCAGATATAAAGGGTTGTCCTGACCCGCAGCCCCCTCGGTTCCTTCTTACTGCCTGTGAAGGTCACTGGAACTTCAGCTTTCCTTGCATTTTCTGCAAGTACTCCTCTCAGTGGACTTTGATTCTTTGATTGTGCATAGTTATTTTATTCAGAGTAGTTAAATTTTAGTTGTTGAGTTAGGTAGTTAGATTAGCGAACCCCGCTGGGGCATGCCTCAGTCTCAGGGGTTTAAGCTTTGTGCTTCATGCCACAAGCCTATGCCTGTCAGTGACCCCCATTGCGGCTGCCTTAAGTGTCTGGGGGAAGCTCACATGTGGGAGTACTGCAAAATCTGCAGAAACTTCAGGCCCTGCACCAAAAAAGACAGGGACATCAGGCTTAGGTTCCTCCTCATGGAGGCAGCATTTCGCCCTCCCTTGGAGCCTAGTCACTCCGACTCAGCATTGAGTACTTCAGCCTCAATAAGAAGTGTCCTGGCTTCTATTAGTGATATGCAGCGTTGTTCCACATCTCTAGAGCCAAAAAAAGACTCTTCTTCTGCTTCTCAGGACTCCTGGCACCGTCAGTCAATTCTGGGGAAGTAATGGGGAAGAGTAACAGGAATTCTTCCTGAGCGCCAACGTCCGGAAGCAGCGTATTCCATTCTGGAAACGGCTGTTTTTCGAATGTCTGGCCACTGCACATTGAAAGGAAGGATCTGTGGGCCTGAGAAGTTGTGGCCCTCGAGGTGCTTCTAAAGCCAAAGGGGCCTTGGCTAAGTTTGTGATGGCGTGACTTTGAGGAGGGTCTGAAGTGTGGAAGGGGGAGGGAAGAAAGAGACCATTGTTGTCAGAGAAAGAAGGTGCTGAATAGCCTGTCATTGAAGGAAAGGTCCCACACAGGTGTTGTGGAAGAAGGTGTGTAGCCCCCAAAGGCAGCCTACAGCCAAAGCCTTTGGGAAGGAGAAGAGAGCAAGGGATGTTGCTGCCTGGTGGGGCCCCTGGTGTGGTGTAAACTGGCCACAGCTGGTCTCTTGGAATTCCATGCAGTAGAAGGCCCTACCCTATTCCTTGTTAGTATAGTGGTGAGTATCCCCACCTACCACATGGGAGACCGGGGTTCAATTTCCCCAATGGGGAGGACAACACCTTTCAAATGGGGAGAAAGAAATGCCAGCACATTCCTCACCTCCTGCTTCTATGGCAACTTCTGTTCACACCCCGCAGTGTTGATTTTCACCTCCAGAGAGACAATTAGCACGCAAGGCCACCCTGGCTGCTTGCCCTATTGAAAGTCTCTATATTGCCTTCCACCACTGGGCCCAACTTCAAGACCTGCATGTCAGGGCACATTTCAGGATCACAAAGGGAAATACTTTGGCAAATGGCATGAGGACAATCGCCCAGCCAAACAGGTGGAAGCTGGTCAAAGTGTGAGGAAGAGAGAAAAGCGGAGAGGCAGCAGGCTGGCCTTCTGTCTTTTTTCCTTTTGTTACAATTTTAACTAATGGGGAGACTTAAGAAATACCTGTGGCCATAGGTCAGGTAGGTGGCCGTCCCAAGAGTGCAGATCTGAGCATTTTCTGCTGAGCTGCTGTGTCACTTGGGGGCTGGATGTAATCATATAGTGGTTAGTACTCTGTACTGTGGCCGCAGTAAGCTCAAATCTGAATCACAGCATTGCTTTTGGTGGGGGATCTTCTGACACGTCTAGTGGCTCAGGCTGATTGTGTCCATTTGCAAAGAGCCAGCAGCTGGTCCCTAGTTTCTGCTTGGTAAAGGAAAGTCAATCAGAAAAAGAGTAGCAGGGAAGAGTACCAGGAATTCTTCCTGGGCACCAACATATGGAAGCAGCATATTCCATCCTGGAAACGGCGGTGTTTCAAATGTCCGGCCACTGCGTGTTGAAAGGAAGGATCTATGGGCCTGAGAAGCTCTGGCCCTCGAGAGGTGCTCTAAAGCTAAAGAGGCCTTGGCTGAGTTTGTGGAGCGTCTCAAGTGTGGAAGGGTAGAAAGAGTCAGTTGTCAGAGGAAGAAGGTACTGAGCAGCTCATTGGTGAGGGAAAGGTCCAGGCAGGTGTTGTGGGAGGAGCTGTGTAGCCCCCAAAAGTGGCCTGCCGCCAAAGCCTTTGGGAAGGAGAAGAGAGTCTTCTAGGACCTCTCCTGTCATCCATGAGTTTGCAAATATTGTTTGCACTGGAGATAGAGACTTCTTCCCCTCCCAGGAGATCAGTGGCTATGTTGGGGCTCCCTGACAGTTCAGAATGGGGTGCTGCTCCAACCAGACCATTATACACACAGTAGCCAACCATTCCATTTCTGGGGAATAAAGTCGACATAGCCTCCGTGCTGCCTCAATGCTGAGGCCTAGCAGTGAACCTGTGGGCCAAATGCACAATATTATGCCCTCCCACACATGCCCTCCCTCACAGTGATAGGGGGCTTCTCCAGAACTGCCTGGTGTAAATACGTGCCCCTCCTCCAGTCACCTGGAAGGGTAGGCCTGCATAAACATTAGCTATTTCTGCTAACAGCCCTATTGGTTAAGCACTAACCACCCCCAAGCTGACAAGCCACACCAAATTCTGAGGTTGGGGTCATGAAATCCAGCACTTCCCATGGGATTCTTCTGTAAATCAGAGTGCAGCATCACAAAGCTCCTGGAGGAGAGGTAGTGCCTCCTTGATTTCCAAAGATTAGCTGACCTAGGAATCCCAACCACGTTTCCTCATTTGTAAAGAAGGACACTGACATGAGGTCTTGTAGGAGGGGATTGAACTGTGGTCTCATAAAGGTAAGAAGGCATCTTCCACAGAGGGCAACTTGTTTTTGTTTTTTTAAATTAAGCAACACTGAAATGACAAACCAGTTCCCTTTTATGTTGAAGCTGCTGAAGCAATTCATTTCCTGTTATCACACAGGCAAGAATCAGCATGATTTTGTCTTAGGAAACTGACAAGAGCGGAAGAGACAACCAAGTTTGAAACTGCACCTCCCCAGAGTGCTATGTTAGAGGCAAACAGCACCATATCCACCTAAGAGATTCTTCTTACAAAGTTTTGAGAGAAATCAAAAACAGTTGAGAATCATGAAAGTCAGATTGTTCCTTGGTGTTCTGCTATTACTAGACCTTTTAAGTTCCTGTTATTCTTATAAGTCAAATACTTTGCCTGATATAGAAGATAGACAGTTTATTAAGGAGTGCGTGAATGCTCATAACAGCTTTCGGTCCAAGGTGAATCCACCAGCCAGCAACATGCGTCACATGGTAAGGAGACTTTCACCATCTATTTGTGATGGAAATTGTTTTGTGCTGTTGAATTAATACATTTGCCTTGTACTTTTCTCACTAGTTCTGTGAATATTTTAGCTACACCAGTTGTTAGTAGTTCATAGTAAATACTAAAAAAAAAAAGGCGATTAATGATTACAGCTGGGTACAGACTTGTTAAGTATTCCTCATTTGAAAGGCGAGTCCTTCATTTAAGACTGGTTTGCCAATCTGTAGTCCTGCCTGAGTCAGGAGGGAAGTGCATTGCTGTGCTGCTTCAGGAGAAAGACAAGGACCAAACTAGACTGAGTGCCCTTGTAATACTGGCACAGCTTACTTGCCCTGCTGTCCTGGCTCAGGTGTGCTGGACAACATGTTGAAGTGTCAAAATTAAGGCTCTTCCCACTTCTTGCCCCTGCCCAGCCACTCCTCCCCCTGGTGACAGCAGCTACTGTCCTGTCACAGCCACACAAACAGTCTGATGAGTGGGTAGCTTGGGAAAGTAAAGGGGCTTCTTATGCCCCCTAATCCCTGTGCAGGTGCACAGCTGAGCTCATGACTGAGCCCTCGCTGTTTAAAAGCTGCCTTAAATTAGTTCAGTTATGGAGGACAGAATTTGCAGCGTGTTTCAATAAGACACTTAGAATTTCTCCCATTCAGATTGTCATAGCTTGACAGCACATCAGAGATGAGTGCACAAATATTAAATGTCTTTCAATATATGAGGGACAGGCAGGAAAGAGTGGATTTTGTAGTGAAAGGGAACGAGTGACAGGATTTTAGGAAAGACTAGATGTGGGGCAGGGAGACAAGCAGAGAAGAGTCCAAGATCACAGGCCTGGAAGGCAGGAAGGATTAAGAGAAAAGTTTCTGTTAAAGAGGTTTGAGTTTGTGCAAGTCATTGCATTTTAAGTCATTTTTGTGTCTTTTTTCATTCTGCAGTCCTGGGACTCTGCTTTAGCTAAGAGTGCCAAAGCATGGGCAAAGCGATGCCACTTTGATCATAATGGCTACCTTAAAATATCAGGAAAAATGCACCCTAACTTTACTCCAGTTGGAGAAAACATCTGGACTGGTTCTCTCCGTCTCTTCTCTGCGAGTGCAGCTATCAGCAATTGGTATAATGAAGTCACAGACTACACTTTTGAGACCCGCTATTGTACAAGAATGTGTGGCCATTACACCCAGGTGATTCTTTTGTTTCCTCCATCTTAATTTCAAATGAGTTGTGGTCTTTGAAGAGAAAAAGACACACACACATTTTGCCTTCTACAGGTCTTTGAAGAGAAAAAGACACATATTTTGCCTAAATCACTTACAAAATTGTGATTTACAAAAGTGTGGGTTAGGAGAACTTTGTGCTAAACAAAGAAAAAGGAACAGAGTCAGGAGGGTGCTGTGCAGCAAGAGACCCACTGCCCTTGGTTTTGGTGTGGAGACACAGCAACTCCATGCAGATATTCCTCTGCCTCTCTGGGAGAAATCCACGAGATGGATGGTTCTGGCATTGAACCCGCCGTGGAGGGGGAAGGAGGCATGCTGTGACAGACTGGTCTAGAGAGAACTCAGTGAGAGGATATTTAGTTTTTTCTCCCCTGTTCTCACAATCCCCGGGGGATTTTTCTGCAGGAAGGGGATGATCTGAGTCTAAGTAGGGTGACCATATAGTAAGTATGAAAAATCGGGACAGGTGGGGGGTAATAGGCACCTATATAAGACAAAGGCCCAAATATCGGGACTGTCCCTATAAAATCAGGACATCTGGTCATCCTAGAGTCTAAGAAAGATTCCAATATTACACAATCACAAACCAAATAGTAAATACAGGAATTCTTCATCTAAATGGCTCCATAGGCTGTAACTAATGCTTCTGCGGCTGCTGTTACAAAACACGCACACCCTCAATTACTTATTTCTTGTTGAATATCATAATTGCAGCAGTCTCTGGGTAGTCCTGGAAAAGTTTAATGTATTTTGGTTTTCCTTTTAGGTTGTTTGGGCCAGAAGTTACAAAGTTGGCTGTGCAGTTCAGTTCTGTCCTAGAGTTACAGGTTTTGACAGACTCACCAATGGAGCACATTTTGTTTGCAACTATGCACCAGCGTAAGTTGATGTTATTTAAAGATCCAAGAGCAGGTGATCAATTCCACTCTGGCTGATGTTTGGAGTGGTCCAGCCAGAGAGCTGCGCCCAGGTTTCCTTGACCTGAGGAACAGTTGCCATAGACCTTTGGTATGGAGGCATGAAAGGATATGCCCATCATCTCCTCCCCTGTTCACAGTCTGCAAAATAGCCCTTCCAAAAAACTGATTAGAGGTTATGCAGATGCAGAAGGTATAAAAACTGCACCGGGGGAGTCAGGGGGAGGGAGGAAGTAAACCAGTTTGAAATACAAATTGCCAACTAGAGCTTCACTGTGTCCCTCTCCATGAGGGTCAAACAGTGCACTTAGTACAAGTTGGCAAATTGCAAACTAGCCAGTGTTACAGCTTTTCTGACAAGGGGTAAGCATGACCATTTTCTAATAAAAACATACCACCCAATCACACCTATGCTGGGCATGAAATGAATCCATTCAGGAGGGATATCTTTTATATAACTAGGTCCTCAAGCGAAAAAGAGGCACAGTAAGTTCTGTGGCTATTCTGTATTTCCAGTTTGATTATTTATTGGGTCTTTATTACAGGAAGGCAAGAGATAGATACTGCCCCTCACTTTAGTACGTGTTGGCTAGCAACCCAGTAATAATGTTTTTTTTGTTGTTGTTTCAGTCTGACTATTCTATTGTACTTCTGGTTAAAACCACTAAAGAACCAATAAAAAAAAAAAAAGTTACTTCCCCACAAAACCATTTCAGATTCACCCATTACTAGTACACCAAAACAGATACAGTCCTTAATGCTCCTTAATAATCTGCTAACAGCCAACAAAAGCTCACTTCCTGGGAGACTTCTTATTTCCTCCATACTAGCTCTCTATTTCTGCCTAACACCTGCCTAATGTAGTTCCAGTTGTACCAAGAGCCACACAACTATGTAAGTGTCATTGCTGTCAACATGCTAAAATGTGTACAAAAGGGGGCCCTTCACAAATATTTTTAATGCAAAAAAAGTTAGTATCTTAAAGATAACCCGCAAGGGATTTTTTAAATTGGGGTTTGTGCCCCTTTTAGCATCTTGATAATGTAACAAAGTTACTGAGTTTTGTATGTTTAATTGAAAAGCTGTGGGGAGAGCAGATTCTGCTTCAAACTCAAATCTCAGGAATGTCACATTTGTGCTTCTTTGATTTTGCTGGAAGATTTGTTGGAGATCTCAGCTGTGTATCGGTAGCTCTCTCATACCTATGAATGAGCGGGAGCATTGAATCTTCAACATAGTTCTCCTTTTTCCCAGCTGTTTTAGACATTGATAATAATTAGGTGTTGATAAAAACAGACAAGCAAAAACCAGAGTTTTAAACAGACTAAATATTCTTACCATCTTAAAATCACTCCGTTTTTACTCTCATCCCATCTCATAGTCGGGGGTCCTTACAGGACCCAGAATTCAGAGGTGCTTTCACGTGGGTTCACACATTCCACCCCTGAAAAGGGAGCCTGCTGCTACCACCTCTACAAATGTGGTCATCTCCGCAGGTGCACTCTGCTGCTGCTGCCACTGTTCTCTCCACCACTGCTCACCTCTGCCTCCACTTGCGGCTCACTGCTGCTGCATTCTGAGGGCCAGCCCCACTCTTAGTGATTTCACTGGGTAGCAGGGAACCTCTCAGCTGCTGCCTCTGTTGTCTTTCACGACAACATTGTTCCCACACCAGACATAAGACTAAGCCACTAGACCAGCTCATCAAGGATGTCAGCCGTAGTAACCACTGAACAGAAACAAGGACTTTCAATCGAGTCTGGTCATTTCTGTCTTTAAACACTGGAGTGGGGAGGGGAGGGTCAAATGGTGTATATAAGACCCTTTGGGTAGAGTGCACATCATCAGCTGAGAACACCTGTCATTGTCCCTCTCATTTTCACTGGGATTTGGCATCCCTACCCACTTCTTAGCAAGTGAGGTTCAGTGTAAGGTGACCCAGTCAATCAGGGCATGCTAAGTACAATGCTGATGCCCTTTACTCATACAATAAGGATAACATGTTCCATTGCCCCTGCATTCAGTATTAACGTGGATTGTAACCCAAAACCAGTCAAAATTGGGGGAAAGGGAGCAGTTCTCCACCAGGCTAGCACTGCAATCCTGCTACAGCCCCACTCAAACTTTGCAGCTACTGTAAATTCAAACTCCAGAAATAAGATCATTTCCATTAAAGAAATACCCTCAAATTACTGTTTTCCAGAATTGTGGTATAATTTCTTTAAATAAAACAGGTTATAATAATGCAGAGCCAGATTCCCAAACCCTGAATAGCACATTGCTCTCTAGGAAGTCCCATTCATTTAAATAGGATGAGTCATGTGAGTAGCCCCCAATGGGAGTGAGAGATTCATAGTCAGGACCAAAAGAAATTTGAAAAATAAAAATCAATTGTTTTAGAAAGTTACATATTTCTGGGTCCAGGGCTTTTTTTTTTCTTCCAGAATACTCTTATGTGATTGTAACAGTTCAAATCACATGATATATTAAATTCTTCCCCCAAAGGATTAAACATTTTTCTGCTTTGCAGTGGGAATTTTCCGACACAGCCGTATAAAACAGGAGCAGCATGTAGTGACTGCAGTGGTGAAAAGTGTGTGGACAAGCTCTGTGGTAAGTGCAAGGGCATTCTATGGAGAGCAAAGTCGCATAATTGGCAGGGGAAATACGGCAGGTATTCAAGCTGTACCAGGTTAAATGAGTTATTGACATTATTCCATCAGCTGGAGTACTTTTCCTAGAATAGTTCCATCTGAATTCAGAAGTGACATGGAACAGAAAAGCCAACAATGAAGAACCTCTGTGATTTCTGAAAAATAGCAATAAAGCCTGATCCTGCAAAGGGGTCTGCAACACAGACCCTTACTGCTATGTAGCGTCCCACTGAAGTCAGGAACCATTTTCAATGTCAGTGATACTTTCGGTAAGTGCAGAGATGCTTAAAGGACAAACTCCAATACATAACATGAAAATATCTATTTTTAGAATGAATAGCCCCACTAACCAGGCTCAGGAGTGCTCCAACCACACAAATACTTAAACCTTTAGATTTTGTTTCCTGGCTGTGAAATCCTGCTGGCATGTTTTGCAATCCATGGCATCTGATGTCACAGACGAATGCATCAAGGGATTACCAGAAACATTTCACAGAATGTGAAAAGAATTTTCAAACGTTTAAGGCTAGATCCTGCAAATATTTCCACCGTTCTGATATGGAGTATGACTCACTTCCATGGGTTACGCCCAGGCAGATCCATTTGCAGGATTCAGCCACTAATGAAAATTGTTTCTGTGCTAAATGCTTCCCCCACATCCTGCCCAGTGGGGGTTTTCAGCACAAATGTCTGTCCTTATTGCACTTTTTAAAGTTATGTAAAGCCATGACCTTTTAAAAACAATAGATCCCACCTTTTCTTTTGCGGTTTCCTTCATCTCTGTGATACCAATTTTATTTACTGCACCTTCCACCATTTTTTTTTAAAATCAGTTCACAGTCAGTGCCAAACTTTTAGATACCCCTCAGCTGGGGATACAGTTTCGTTGACACGGGTCATTTTTGTAGGACATTTGGAAATCTACCTGGGGTGTGAGTGCAGACGCAGTCAGTGAGTTAGTCATCTAAATGGCATTTGCTGCTCTTCTTTTGTGCCTTTCACATCATGGGTTGCTTTATATCAGTGGTTCTCGAACTTTTGTACTGGTGACCCCTTTCACATAGCAAGCCGCTGAGTGCGACCCCCCCTAATAAATTAAAAACACAAACACAATTATAAATGCTGGAGGCAAAGTGGGGTTTGGGGTGGAGGCTGACACCTCACGACCGCCCAGGTATAACCTCTTGACCCCCAAGTCCCGACCCCCAGTTTGAGAACCCCTGCTTTATATGATTTGCTGAATGATCTGGCTCAAGTTTCTGCCACTTTGGCTGAAAGTGGGTGATGACCACATTCTAACTCAACAAGTCTCTGTAGAAATTTGCAGTTGTTGATCTTAGTACTTTAACACTCTTATAAAATTGAGGAGGATCATTAAGTATTACCTGCTGTCCAGGCAGGGAGTAAACACAAGTCCTAGACTGTTATTCAGAATATCATCAGCACCAATGGGCTATCCATTTTTCATTAATAAATAAAGCTGAATGATAGCCATATTTACATTTCTTTCTCATCTCTCACCAGAAAATCCAGAACGTGACACATTGAAAAGTACGTATCACAATCTTATATTGTTACTTGAAATACTTAGAGTCTGCTACATATCACATGGCTTGATAAATACATTATCTCCTTTTTGTTTTCTAGGTTACTCCAGTTGGTATCCAGACTGGGACATACCGCCACACGCCAACCCCTCTGGTGCTCCACACCCCAACCCCTCCGGTGCGCCACACCCCAGCCCTCCACGCTCCTCGTGTGACCAATACTGTATTACTGTTTTAATAGTAAGGCTACTGTTTGTGTTACTGACTTTTGGTGCTGTCTTACTAGTACAATGGCAGTATCCCCAGATATTTATATATGAGTAATCTCCATTTGCCTCCTATTGTCGGTGTACATAAGCATTAGTACCAGTCAGTTTTCCTGGGCTGCTCATGGTTGTTTGGGACAAGGAGGAGGAGGAGGTGGTGTGCATGTTAACTATTCAATCAAAGCCAGAGATTTTGTACCTCTCTGCACCCCAGGCGTACCTCTTCGTTGTCCATTCTTTTCCCTAAGAAGCACCTTAGAACATAAGGCGACAGCTTTAGACATTTCACTATAACTGCCTTCTCCTAACTATCACCATTGTCAAATAATGATGTCCCATAAACACCTCATGAGAATCACCCCAGATACCTTCTCTAAAGGGTTCCGCAGGTAAAGGAGGGTCATTGCTATATATATAAAAATGCTGGTGTACAGAAGCATTGGCAGAGCAATGGTGGAGTTAGCTGCCTGTATGCTTGATAGCAGCAAGGAGCCCCATTCTAGCAAGAGCAGGTTGTGTGCCATGTCCTATATAATCATCTGTTCTCCTATTGTATCCTCATCTCTAGACATTACACACACACACACTTTTTGAGGGCTGAGTGACTGTGGGGAAATAGAATACAGAGCATTTCTGCTTCACATCCAGAGCAAGTGACCGAGGACTGAAATTTTTATCCAACCAAATGACTGTTTGGTGGCCAAGGTGGAATTAATTTGTTATGTCTCAGTCCAATTCCAGGAGGACAAATAGATTAAGGACCTACAAGTATAATTAGAATATTCAGTATGACCCATATTCCCTTATCTGTAACTCCAAGGACTCCACTCAAAGTTTACTTGGCTTAACCTGGGATGGGTTATAGAATCATGGGAACTCCCCTCTTACCTTCTATATCTTTCCCCAAGCTGTTTTTCCATACACAAGGTTTTAATAAGTGTCCATCCTCCCTCTGTCAGCACTGCCATGAGGCTCTTGTCTTGCTCACTTGGCAGCCTCTGCTCAGTCGCTCTGGACCCAGTGCTGCTTCCAGAAGTGTTAATTCAGCACAAGGGGCACAAGTGGGACTGCAGCAGAGGTAGGACAGAGAGAAGCCTTAAAAGACTTTACCAATGGGTTGGATTTGACATTAAACTAGCAACTAGCTTGGATTAAAATAACCCCCCCAAGTCCCTGCAGTTCTAGTTGAGGGGATGGGGGCAGGGAAAGAGCAGGAGAGGTATCTATTTAATGCACAGTAAACACCAAATTACATACCAAATGCGCTATACATGACTTTACTCACCTAAAATGTAAACCACCACATTGCAAGCCCAGTGTTCTTTTGTGATACCAGGCTAGACTTAATCGTCTCATATTATGACTCTGGCAATGGCTCATACCCAATTATTTACAGAAAAATAACCCATTATGCACCTGACTGATTGTGCAATGCTTTATCCCAAGAGAAAAATTCCTCCCTGACCCCCAAGGCAATCAGATTGTCTCTGTAGTATGACATTTGGCTGCACTTCTCATGCTGAGCTATGGTACAAGTATTCTCAAGAATCATAAAATTGATAGTCAATATTGCCCTTCAAAATATAGATACAGCTAAAGCATTGTTCAGTTAACTGTCTGCAGCAGGGAAATGCAGAGTTTGATATTACCCTGAAAAAAGGAATATTTCTTTTTTATTGGCTGTAAATTGATACTTCACCAGTCCGAGAGAAAACCAAGGGTCATGGTGTATTCTACATCACTGACAATTTTTAAATCAAGATTGGGTGTTCTTCTAAAAGCTGTGCTCTGGGAATTATTTTGGGGAGTTCTATGGTTGGCTGTGTTATATGGGAGGTCCCAGTGATCTCTTCTCACTTTGGACTCTATGAATCCATTGAAGATACTCATGAATTGTTACTGCAACATCTTTGAAATAAGAATGACAATCACACAGCTACAAAAACAGTTTAGTTGTGTTTGTCATATATTGCTTTTGTATATAATAAAAAAAATCTGCCATTTACTATTTTTAGCCTTTGAATCACTGTACACTAAAAGTTATTTTTGCATTTTAATTCTTATTATTTTAATTTCTGTGCCAGATATAATATAGCACTATCTGCCTTGAGAGGTAGCATCATTATCCTCGGGGAAAGAGATACTTGTGTTATTGAGGAGTGTGTGAGAGCACATAACAGTGGGGAAGTGGCCTTTATTGGATTGTAGGTTGGATAGATGCAGATTTGAAAACACCTGCATATGCCATTAGTAAACAGAAAAACTGGAAGTTTAACTTTAGGTTGTGTGATATACCATGGAAAGCCTGGAAATTCAAAATGTGA